AGAGAGAGAGAGAGAGAGAGAGAGAGAGAGAGAGAGAGAGAGAGAGAGAGAGAGAGAGAGAGAGAGAGAGTGAGAGTCGGCTGTCTGTCCATTGCCACCTGCCCGCCCTGTTGCCAGACCCGCATCCCTTGTCGCCCTACCCCAGCGTCCCACCCACCCTCCGTCCCTCCTCCTTGACTACCTCGTCCCCGTCCCACCGGCGGGAAACGAGCACCTCGGTACTGCCCTCCTAAGTTCTCCAACAGTAGGCCCTTCAGGGCCGGTCTGGTTGGCCGACGGTCCACAAAAAACAACGCCAACAATTTTCTGGGGTCCCCCAGGCCCGGCAAAATGGCCTGGGGACCCCAAATTGTATTAAAATTTTCAAATTTCTTCAAATCAGGGTCCAGCCAGACTTTCCAAACCGGACACCAGACTGTCTGGATCGGAATCCGGACGTGCGGTTGGCAACCATGATTCAGTCACATCCAATGCCTTGTTTTTTGTTTTGCTTTTTAATTCACATTCACATCCCCATTCATATCCAAATTCCTGTTGCATAGCAATTGCTATTTGTCGTTGCTATTTTTGGCACTGACCTTATGCTACTTGTATTTGCTATTTCTGTCGCTGAACTTCTGCTAGTACTTGTATAGTCAGGCAGGTACTTACACCAGGACTTTTTCTAATCGTTTGTGGCCTTGTTGGCGGTCAGATACATCCAGGAGTGGATGTAATTGCAGTCAGATTCATTTAGGAAAGCGCTAGTCTGAGTATGCCCTTATTGCTGCAACTGAATCGCCATGGTGGCGGTGCTGGCTATGACACTGGCGGCGTTGGCTATGGTGGCGTTGGCTATGGCTATATCAGAGTTGGCTATGGCGGGGTTGGCTGTGGCAGCATCGGTTATGGCGGCGTTGGCTATGGCGGCATCGGCCATGGCGGTGTTGGCTGTGGTGGCGTTGGCTATGGTGATCTCTCTCTCATCTTTTTGTGTGTGTCTCTGAGGAGCAGCAGGGGGTGATCGTCGCCATAGCCACCATCCAGTGTCCATGTCATGCCGCCCCTCGAACCCTTTGATGCTCACTGCAGTGTTTCCCTGAACACAACACACCCCTGATTATAAATGTATACAATCTGTTTTGCTGGTCGGATTCAGTCATGATAAAGGTGTGTTGTGTTCGGGGAGAAAAAAGAAGGTAGTCCCTGTAACTGAAAATGCCAACATCTTCCACAGAAAAAAAGACCTGCTGTTTCTACTACTTATCCTAATTTAGGCCAATCTTCTGGTCACATACAGGATGACATGGTGGTAATGGCCATTCCGTTTATTGAGAGGGGAAGATAACAGGGTTTTAACGAAAAGCACAGCAGACCTGTCGAACTCGATTTCACGAATTTTGTTAAATTCGTAATCCCCTGTTTTACTTCAAATGGTAATTCTCCCTGTTAGCTCTGACGACTAACCGGCCATTTGCAATTTTGCACCTGGTACTGATCGCAGCCATTTTCTGTGACGTGTTTGTGTTGTCATGAATGGTGCACACTGCACACAGATCGAGAGTCGCGTTTCTTAAATTCTAATCAAACGAGGAAGCGAAGACCAACGACTCGGAGCAGTTGTATCGGAAACAGGCGAGAGCAAGGCTAGCCATTCAGAAGTGACCCTTCAGAACTGGAGACGTTGCATCCAAACTGGCAAGAGCAAAGGTGGTCCCCTTCCAAAGTGACCCCCTTCTGAAGTGACCCCCTTCCGAAGTGACCTCCTTCAGAAGTGACCCTTCAGAACTGGAGAAGTTGCATCCCAACTGGCAAGAGCAAAGAAGTGACCCTTACGAAGTGACCCCTTTCAGAAGTGACCCTTCAGAAGTGGAGAAGTTGCATCCAGAATGAGCAGTTCATGCTTTTGTGGAACAGGCCTGCAAAGACGTGTCTTCACAGAAAATCTGCAGTGAATGAGAAGCAGCAATTGCTGGAGCTTGCCGGAAACATCCATCCATTACCTGCACCTTTAGCGGCGAAAGAGCGCTCTGAAAATCTTCTGTTTGTCATGGTTACTATTTATCTCGGTCCTTGGTTTTCGAAAAGGGGTTAGCTGCTTACATTATTATTATTATTATTATTATTATTATTATAATATTATTATTATTATCATATTGTATTATTGTTATTATTATTACCATTATTGTTATTCTTATTATTATATTATTATTATATACTATATAGTGATTCATCTGCTTCCATTGGGATGGTAACTCATGATCTGTTCGCTAACAGTTGTATGTGTGGGTGGTACTGCGTACCCAGAACGACTGAGTGAGAAATTTGAGTGAAAGTTTAACTGTGAAACACAGAACGACTGTGTTTCCCATAACTCAGCGGACTACAGGTATACAGCAGAAATCGGTGTGAAACCCCGCACCCAGACGAAGAGCAGGTACATAGTACGGTACCGGACATAGTAAGCAGCACTTCACATCATAGTACGGTCATACACATTGTCAATAAACAGATTATATCCAGTACATGTATTGCACCATATATTGTAACCAGAGACTTTACATAGTACACATTGTCCATACTACATAGTACATAGTAACCAGACACTTCACATAGTACCTTCACGTAGAGGCAACTTCGTTGCACTTAGGATCGCCTGTATTAAGGGTCTTTGTTTTACATGATCAGTATGATTCTCCTGTTAACAAGTCCGTCCATTTAGGCTCCTTCCCGTCACATTGCCCATACACATTGTTTATGCAGTACCGTACATGGTAACCAGACACTTCACGTAGTACCTGCACATAGTAT